ACCCAATTCTTCCTAATTTTCGAATGCTCCTGGTAGTTGATTGCAAATGTTCCATAATTCGTCTGAAAGTGATGTTCCACATTATGTTTCTTTGCCAATGCTACAGAAGCACCACACACACTTTCCTTTCACATCAACAAAGCAATATTTTCCTTCCCAGTTGGAATTGTAATTGTATATCTTCTGCCTTTTGTTGGGTCCACTCATCATGCTGCAGCAGTTAAAAAAAAAAGTGCTAAGCCCCCGACGCAGAATGAGGATGCCGAACAAGACTGGATGCACCACTAACATTGTCACTGCCAAAAACTCAAAGAAGACTGGTGAAGAACGTGGATCGAAAGTTTCTCTTTGCTCCTTGCTAAATATTTAATATTATAGTGTCATACAGTCGAGTCAAGAGTCGACTCTGACCTGCAGTTCCCAACACCTTTGTATACTCGGTTTGGTGTGTTGAGACTTGTAATATCGTGCTCCCAATCTTAAACTTTTTAATTAATTAAAATTTAACCGGTTAGGACGCGCGTCGGGCCTAAAAGGCCCAGTCGTTACAAAAACATAGTACAGAAATTGCTCTTTAGGTGAAACTTTTCGACCTTCTCAGTAGCTCGTTCAAGGTCATGTACGTGCAATTCACAGGCATTTCCGGAATCCATCTCTCCTTTTTTTCTCAGAAATTAGGTAGCCAGGCCTACCAGGCCCAAAGCGCACGTTCATATTTAGTTAATATTATCATTTTAAACCTGACAGAGGCGATAAGAAGGATCAAGTTAAGACACGCCATCACATTCGATGTTTCCGAAACCCAAGACAAGGCCAACCAAGTATTTGACCCCTCCCCAGCCGAACCACCTCTCCGTGCAATCCTAAAAAAGACCACTGCAGGAGGGGAAAAAAAAAAAAAAAAAAAAAAAAAACCTAAGCTTGGCAGGCGCTATGCAAGGTCGCCTCGGGCACAGGGTTGAGTACCTTGTTACACCACAAGCTGATCAATGGCTAGTATAGTCAAAAGTCTTTAATCCGGACCTCAAATCTACAAACTTTCTGCGCATGCACGTTTAATGTATAACGGATGCTATGAGCTAAGCTAAAATTATCTAATTATCTATTTCAGTTAATGATGCAAATTGCGTTGTACCTTAATCTTCTAATTGGATCCGGCTTATTATTTTTTGCAGACTATTAGAGCAATTTTATAAAAGTAAGCTTGAACTTTCGATTATGTCAAAAAGAATTTCCGATTCTGGAGCTACCAAAGGATCTACAAAGCGAAAGCATGTTCCGATGTCCATCAAACAATAAGTGGAATTGCTGCAAAAAATGGATAAAGGCATATCCTTTGATTCTCTAATCATTCCGAAATATGTTTCTCAATTTGATGCTGCTCTGCGGGAGGGGGGGTGGGAACGACGCGGCGCACAATGAACTGGAAGTTGATCTGTCAGCACTATCCTTATCTTCAGGGCAGATGTTTTTATTTTATTAGGCTTAATAATTTCTTACTAAATGTAGTATTTCATCTCGATGTACTCCCTCTTTGATATGATTTAAATCAAATTCCTCATCATTATAAATATCACGAATACACATCAAATAGTTTTCTGGTTGCAATTTTCTAATTTCGACTATGCATAATGTATGTTTTACGCATGCGCGCATTCAAAGAAATGTTTAATAAAGTAAACAAATAAATATAAAGCTTTTTTTTTGTAAATTTTGATACCCTTTAGATCACAATTGCACTTTATTTCATAAATTACGGTTTCATATTTTTAATTTAGTTAGATATCATAATTTTTACAAATTTGATTTCTTCAAATTTAAAAATGGCAAAACAGATCGTAGCATCATTTAAAACCGGGATGTCAAACTTGCAGCCTACAACAAATATTTTTGCGGCCCGGGCAATATATCGGCAAATAATAATATATAATAAATAACATATCGAAGAAGAAAAAATGAAATGTTTACTGCTAAGTAATAACGATAATTATTCAATTGTTAGATTACTCACAGGAGCTGATGCACACACTTAAATTACAAATGTGTGTGAGTAGCTGCGTTCGCTACCTTCGGCTTTTTGGGGGACACGTGCCTCAGAACTTGTACGCATCCTCCGACAGCCAATGTGGCTGAATCATGGTCTCAGTTTTCAATCATAGTTTATACGTATATGCATGGCATGCACTTGCTTTTTTATTATTTACTTAATTCCTATTGTTACGGATTTCATTTTATTTATTTAGTTTTTTTTTTTTTTTATTATTTTAGAACCGTAATTAGATTTGCTTCAGTGTTGCCTTAGCAACGCAGACGATTTTTGAATGACCAGCTGCGTTGGAAGGTTAAAAATAGAACAGCGCGTGCATTTTAATACCTAATAATAATATCTGCTTTGCCATCTACAAAAATCCAGAAATTTACAGTGTTTCCAGTATATTCGAGAATTAAATAAGCTTATGAAAGCCGAGAACAAACAACTCATCTCAGTATTAGCAGTAGTTCTAGCGAACTGGTTGTTTACTTAATGTGATTGATTTGTAGCGATTTCGCTGTGAGATAGAATTAGTTTCTCTTTTTGAATTGATTTTGCTAACGTTGACATTTTGCGATATTGTTAGAATATTTTGAAGAAATATTTCAGCATTTTGATTTATCTCTGTTGAAAGAATAAATTTTTGTTACTTTAACGTTAACCGTGTTTATCAGCCCTGTTTCAGTATGTCTATATCAAAACAAGGGTAGTAAAATTAAACGAAAAATCGCTGACGAACATAGAATATTCCAAGTAAATGGGTTAGAATATTTTGCTGGAAATAAAGATAAAATATCTGCTTGATATGTAATAATACTATTAATGTACAAAAGTTTTATATATTAAACATCATTATGAAAACACAAATCGAAATAACAATATGAAGGATTAATGATAGAAAAAAGTTGAAAGAGCTCAAGTTAGGAGGAAAAAGCACAGTCATGTTAGTAAGTATTGCAAGAAAGTGAAGTAGCGTACATGCAAGATACGTCTTGCGAGTTGATAGCTAAACATTCGAAGCCTTTTACTGACGGTGATTTCATCAAGGAATGCCTAATGAAAGCTGGGAGAAATTGTTTGTCCTGGAAATGTGAGGCTTTTCTATCAATTTCGTTGTCTCAAAATACAGTTGCGGAAAAGTTATGATTTTAGCCACAAATTTAAGTGCTCAGATCAAAGCAAAATCATCTAGTTTCGAATTTTCTCCTTGCCGTGACGAGAGCACGGACATTAGTGGCAAAGCCATTAGCGTGTTTTTTCGTTCTTGTGACAAGAATTTTAACATTTTTTGATTACTGAACTAATCGAACCCTGGTACACCACAGGAGAAGATATATTACTTGTGTTTTTGGACTTCTAAAAATACAGTCTACCTTTGGCAAAAAAATTCTGTAGCTAAAGATGGCGCTCCATCAATGACCGGGAAAACAAGGGTTTCGTAGCATTCAAGAAAAAAACTTAGTGAAATTCACGGTTCAACATTCAACATATGCATTGATTATACTCAAAAGTTCTATGCACGAAAGCATAAATATGGAGAATGTTTTGTCATTATAAAAAAAGTTATAATTTTAAGATCTCGAGGTTTAAATCAGCGTCAATTCACTGCTTTCTTAAGTGAGTTAGATAGTGAATATTCGGGTTTGTCCTACTATACCGATGTATGTTGGTTATCTTGCTCCAAGATTCTCACACAATTCCAGGATTTGAAAGAAGAAATATACCAGTTTTTAAAAACGAAAAATCAAGACGTAAGTTTGTTTTACGATCCAATATCGGATACAAGATTTATCTTTCTTGGTTGATATAACCAAAACACTTAACCAATTTAAATTTATCGTTACAAGGAGAAGATCATATCATTACGAACATGTTTGACATAAATTAAAGCATTCAAATGTCAACTAGTTCTTCGGGAAAAAGAACTTAAAAATGAAGATTTGACGCACTTCCCGACGTGCAGCATGAACAAATCAAGTTTAGATGATAGTTGTTCGTATAAAAAATACGCAGAAAAAATTGCAAATTTAACAACTGAATTTGAAACGAGGTTTAAAGATTTTAGTTCCCTTGAAGACAAATTTTTTTTGTTTTCTTCGATTTTCTCAATAAGTATTGACTCAGTACCCAGCCATATGCAAATGGAGGGTGATAGAGATTCAATGCAACTCAAATTTGAAAGCAAAATTCATTGAAGTGGGCGTGCCTGAATTTTCCAATATTTACCAGCCAGGTTTGAAAATACTCGAAAATTCGCATATGAAATTATTTCCATGTTGGTAGCACTTATCGGTGCGAGCAGTTATTTTCAGTCATGAAAGGTAATAAGTCTCCTATTAGAAACCGTATTAATGATGCTCACCTTGGGTCAGCGTTGAAAGTTATCATTGCAAAGAAAATTTCTCCGAAATAGGAAGATAATAGCAGAGAAGAGATGTCAGTATCAGGACGTAACATTAAATTTTCTTGCTCTTCTCTATATAAATATATATATATGTTTATTATTGTATTATTCAAATAATCAATCTACGTTCTATGAATATTAATTTTTTTTTTTTTTTTTTTTTTTTTTTTTTGCAACCCGCCTAAAGTTAAACCTTGTTTGTTTGGCCCAAGTGTACCTATGAGTTTGACATCCCTGATTTAAAACATTACTGTAATTCTAAGTATAAGCCTATGATCAAGGTCGCAAAAATAAATTTTGGGTAAGGATTTTTGTGAACATGGTGTTTTTTTGAATGCTAAAAACCTATTTATTCTAGATTCACAGTGATTTTGACATTGATTTAACACAATGATTTGATGAGATTGGTTTGGCTAAATGGCATTTAGAATGTAGATCTCATTCACACTTGTTTGAGAAATTGTATCTTTTGAGCAGACAATGTGGGAACTGGAGATGGTTGTTTATAGTTGGTTGAAACTCATATTTAATGTTTTGATATTAGAAACATTTTCACTGAATTTGTTGGTTTCTTCATTACATGCCAACCATTTATTTTACATATGATCTGTTGGTACTGCAAAAGACATAACTTTCCCTTTACATGGCCGGCATGTCGCCAATTTAAAGTGTGCTAACATTGCAAATGACAATAAATATAATTATTTGTTAATTTGGCTGTACTCATATGCTTAATTCAGTAACCACTGAGTTGTGAGTTCATACAAAATCGACCAATACTGGTAATACATTGTTGAAATCACCAACAAAGAGTTAGGAATGATGGCATCACATTCATATTTGCTCACATTGCAAAGTAATGCTCAGTCATAAAAAATAGCTTATCTTGGGCAAAATTCAACTTCATCTTGCTTCACACAAATGGTTTTTAATAGCATCAATCTCAAATGAAATTTCTGTAACAGTACAGAGGTGCTGGTTTAGTTTTATCATTTTAAAATAAAATCATTTTTGATTTGATTACACTTATTTACTTAGGATTACATACCTTACATACTGAAACTATTTTAATTTCAAAAGGAATACATATGTATATATGTCATATTTTGGCAGTCGGGCATTTGGCATGAAATGACAACACAGAAGAGGTTAGCTGTTTTGGTTTCACATGTTTGTTCAATTCAAATGGTAAATTATTATTCTTTTAAATTCCTCAAGATTACATATACGATAGTTATTTAGACTAAAATGCAATTAACTTTTAAGTTTACAGCATCATACTATTCAAATAAAGAAGACAGACGGGAAGAGCGGCAACGAAAGGGTTTTACAGCGGCAGGCAGAGAAAAGCAATCTGACAGAAAATGGTGCGAACTCTTCATTTACAGCAGCAATTACGTAACATGCCAGAATGTTCTCAAAAGTACTGGTCTAGGGGGAAGATCCTGAAATTGCAGAAAGTTAATTAGAGGTTGCCTGTCTGCATAGAGCAAAGCCATTGTATTTTTAATATTTTATATCTATATATGTAGAATTATAATTTTTTTAAGTAATTTCTGTTCAATTATTTTTCCAGTCAGATAAGGATTTGATCCCAAAATTTATAAAATGGCAATACGTATTTTATTTAATTCAAAAATGTTCTTGCCTCTTTTCATGCTGATACACTTCCTTATGGTGTAGATACACATATATATGAATTTACTTAAAGATGTTAAGAAAAATATTCTTTGATTGAAAAATAAATCTAAGCACTGCGATTTGCTTGATATAATTTTTGCTACAATACATTTTACACTATGTAACAGAAAAATCATGCAGTTTCATTTAATTACATACCTAATTTGTTTTTGAATATTTTGGCAAAAGACTGAAATTAAGGTTTTTGCTCCAAATGATCGACACTCGTAACTTAATGCATAATATATAAGGAATGGCCAACCCATCACTTTTTTAACCACATTATCATACAGAATATTGCTCAGGGAGCAAATGAATTCCCCAATTTTTTGGCCTCTCATATATTGAAGAAAATATTTAGATGCTTTCAGAAACTGTTCACACCCAGAAATCCTTTTTCCAGTTCATCCAGTTTCTTTATCCCTCAATGCTCATAGCTAACTGGACATATTCATGTCTCATGCCAACAATCACACATTACCCAGCATATCTAAAGCCCATTACAAAAACCTGACATGCCAGCTGCAAGATTTGACCACGTACCTCTGGGCATTGTTGATCCATTACTTGCATCTGAAGGTTTTCGACATTTATTAAGTTGCGTCATAAGCTATAAAAAGCATTTTTTATACAAGACATCATAAATCTCTGGTTAAATTTCATGATTTGGAGTGCCACCAGTCGTAATAACCAACAATCAAAACTGACAATTCTAGTCACATCTCGTTTGCTCATTAGCATCCTAATTAAGGCTACACTGAGTTCATGCTCCATCTCAGCATTTTTTTCAGACGGCCTCATGAAATGATTTAGGTGGATACTTTACCAAGTCATCAGATGCCATTACAACACTCACTGGAGGCTCGAGTCTCTGCCTAGTTCGATCTGGGTTCCTTCTCCAAAGAATATCTTCAGAGTGCATATGCCAAAATAATATATAGCATGAAACTTCCTTTTAAGTTTTTTCAATCAGCTCTTACTGATGAAGCATTGTCTTTTCTTCAAAATTTGTGGGATATGACGAAAACTGTCTCCAATAACATGCCACAGCATACTGACCAAGTGCATTTAAAACTAAACTATAAATGCAAGGTTAGTTGACATTCCAGATAAAGGATCACTCTATAGTTTAGAGATGAACCAGTTAATACGAGAATAATACTGAAAATCTGTATAGCAAATATTCGATAAACTGTTAAAACAGCATGATACATATTTTGCTTATTAATTCATGCAATAATTTAAAATGAATATATACATGGTAACCTAAAATTCATAAACACAAGTAGAAATGAAAATTACACAAAAAGGTATAATGGTGTGTAATTTATGTAAAAGTCCATCGCAAGGAAGGAGATTAAATTTTGTCAGAGGTAAACATTAGTTCAATGTTTCACTGACAGAGGCCAGTGCATCATATTAATGATACTGATTAGTCATATTAGTGTTAAAAATATTTATTTGACTTTAAATGTATAGAACAAGAAACAATTTAGATATCACAGAGATAATCTATCATTCTCAGATAATCTATCCAAAAAAAAAAAAAAAAAGTTCAGTACTGTTTGTAATGTTTTTTGATGAGATTATTACTGTCAGTATAGTAGCAGCTTCTACAGATGAAAGTTAAAATTAAATATTTGCTTCTCCATAGAGGAAAGGCAGGGTTCACTTTCCAGATATATTTTTATGTAAATTGTTCCCTGCTGTATCCAATGATTGATTTTCCTATAATTTGAATTTTATACAGATTTTATGACCACTTTGTATATTATATCCAAGTATCACCTCCCCCCCCACATAAATATCATCATCAATATATTTCAGTTTTTGTTATACTTCATTTCTTTTGTCATTTTGAGTATTTTTCTTAATATGATACATTTCACTCAATAAAGAATATTCTTTATATCTATTCAACGTTTTCTGATGCAGAGATGGTTTTCATGTTATCTTAATTTACTGTGTGAATAGCAGCTAGTATTTATATTAATTAAGTTTTATTAATGAGCTAGGACGATAATACTGTTCTCCACCAGTGTAGCGGATTGAGATGTGAATTTCATTCAATTCCATTTCTCCAAAATCAAAATCACCACATTTCTGGAAAAAGAGAAAGCATTAGTTATAACTGAACATACTGAGTGACATTTTAACAAAATCTTACACAAATAAAAAAAAAAAATGCAAGAAAAATTACAGGTGAATCCACTATTTTATATCAATGAGATATTTCTGTATATTTAAAAAACTCAAGAACACCCACAGTAATGAAAAACACTTGCATACAGTCAAACATTATTCTTTCATACATTAATTATGCTTGCTTAACTATCTGCATATTTATGGTACAAAATATTTCATGCTCTGATTTAAAAAATAGTGCTTGAATTTAAACTTCATCATGTTTCTCAGTGAGCTGCTAGAAATTTTGTCAATGAATACTATATTTTAAAAGAGGTTATTATGTTATAAAAAGACTGCAATTTTGCACCAAATACTAAATGCCAAACTATTCACAAACCAATTTTGACACCTCCTGCAACCACAAATTGGTATATTTTTGTCAGTGGGTAGTATGCAAAATAAGGGGGGGGCAATTCTGTATTTCATACATGGTCTGTTATCTCTTGTTCATGATAAATTGACAAAATTCAATAGCGTTTTTCATATTTCGAAAGCATGACTTAAAATATATACAGTCAAAAGTTTTTAATCCAGACTCGTCGGGTCTTCGGCGAATCCGGATTATCGATCATCAGTTTAAATCTGGTAAGATGGCATGCAGAAATAATAAAATTCAAAATATGAAACCATAATTTATGAAATAAAGAGCACTTATGATTTAAAGGGTATCAAAATTTACAAAAAATAAAGCTTTATATTTATTTGTTTACTTTATTGAACATTTCTTTCAATGCGCGCATGCGTAAAACATACATTACGCATAGTCGAAATTAGAAAATTGCAACCAGAAAACTATTTGATGTGTATTTGTGATATTTATAATGACGAGGAATTTGATTTAAATCATATCAAAGAGAGAGTACATTGAGATGAAATACTACATTTAGTAAGAAATTATAAGCCGAATGAAACAAAAACATCTGCCCTGAAGATAAGGATAGTGCTGACAGATCAACTTCCAGTTCATTGTGCGCCGCGTCGTTCCCACCCCCCCCTCCCGCAGAGCAGCATCAAATTGAGAAACATATTTCGGAATGATTAGAGAATCAAAGGATATGCCTTTATCCATTTTTTGCAGCAATTCCACTTATTGTTTGATGGACATCGAAACATGCTTTCGCTTTGTAGATACTTTGGCAGCTCCAGAATCGGAAATTCTTTTTGACATAATCGAAAGTTCAAGCTTACTTTTATAAAATTGCTCTAACAGTCTGCAAAAAATAATAAAGCCGGATCCAATTAGAAGATTAAGGAACAACGCAATCTGCAACATTAACTGAAATAGATAATTTTAGCTTAGCTTATACCGTCACTGTTATACATTAAACGTGCATGTGTAAACGTATTACGCGCATGCGTCGGCGCATTATGCGTTGACACATGCGCAGAAAGTTTGTAGCTTTGAGGTCCAGATTATAGATCATTCCGGATTAAAGACTTTTGACTGTATTAGAATTATACACAGCCCTGCTCTACCATTCATATTTTGACACAAAATTTGACTTTCTCTAAAACGATATGCTGATTTTTTTCCATACTTATTTTCGTATTTGATTCTACAACTCAAATTATTAATTTTACAAGAATTGAGAATACAATTTGGTGCATTTTTCACTTTGCACCAAAAATAATTCACTTGGAGAACTTCTCAGTATATGGTAACATGTTTCACTGTTCCATTCATTCTGCACAAGTGGGAAAAAAAAATTTCCTTCTTTCTTGCAAATATTTTTACTTTGTATTATATCTTTTAACCACAGATGTAATTTTTAGATTTTTTTCCTTTAATTCTCTTTCTTTTAATTTTAATTATTTGAATTGCATGTTTGAATTATATTTTTCAAATAATAATTTTTTTTTTTTATAAAAATGTCTATTTATTCATTCAGACTGTGTACTTTAAGTATATTTATTGATATATATGTTTTGAAAAGTTGAATTTATTTATTTAAATTGCATTTTTACAAAAGAATTATTTGTTACCTAGTATACATGATGATGCTTTTGAAAACTGCATACATTAAAAGATAAAATATGGTAAAGCAATGTTGATATGTCTTTCAGTTGGCTGTTAGGAAAGGATATTTAAACAAGAAAGCTATATAATCAACATTTTAATTTAGGTGGAGATGCATATATTGTTTTACACAATTTATCATTATGCCTTTGCTTACACGATTTTATCATACAACCTCCAGTTTGTTAAAATGTTATTTGTATTTCAGAACAAGTTTTAAAATATTTCATTTTTTTAATCAAAAGCATTAAATAGTACATTATTAAAAAATGCAACAAATTCTTCATATCATTTAATCCTTATCAATTTTCTTGAGGCATTTTGCAGATATATCCATGATCATTTACAATTTTTTATTTACTATATACCATGAATACTTTTGAAAAATCTTGGTTTTTGTGGATTCTTAAGAGTAGAGGAATCACCTTCCTTTTCATTAATATTTGCCCAGAATTAACTAGCGATGAGATTTTGACCAAGATTTTAACATCTTTAGGCTAGGCAAAAGATGAAAGGAAAGACTGCTTTCACCAATATTGAAACCGTTTTTTGTTCATATCCAAATACATCTTCAGAAAATTTTTTAAATCTAAACAAATTTGGCTAAGACATCCTCAGATTCTCCATTTATAATATGCTAAAACAGTCTATGACATAATTTAAATTTACACGGACGTTCAGTGAAAAAATATTTACTCTTTGCAACTTTCTCAAGCTAATGTGGCTCCCTCTAGTATGCATCATGATAACTATTTATGCAATTTTCCTATTTTTGGTCACCACTTAGATATGGATAGGGGTGGTAGAAGTGGGCTATGTAGCTAAGGAAATATGTATTGTTAAGAAGGAAAATCTCTCCGCGATAGGAGTGGCTCTGTTCCAACGTAGACATTCACTTGTAATGTTATTTCTTGTGCCTTTTCTGTCTATCTAGATCCATTTGCTGGAATATTAGACACATTTCAATGAGAACTAACTTTAGCAAAATACGGTTTTAAATTCTAGATATTTCATCCTGGACATGCAACTTCTTTGAAGCAGATTTTCCATAAATAGTTATTCTTTCTTTGAATTTCCTTTTTCGAGAAATATTTGTTTTCAATGTTGCCACAAGAATATTCAGTTTTCATCACATTTCCATAAATTTTGTATTCCTGTCCAATTCTCTTAAAATTTAGTTATATCTTTCAGGAAGACTGCTATTCATTTTCTAGACATTTTTGCTGCAAATTAAGTTTAAAACAAAGCCCAATGGATAAAATATGTTAAAATGCATTTACTACATGATAGAGGTACAGTAAAGCACCTTCTGAACTTTTTTGATCAACAGATTCTAGCATTTATTCTGTCCCACCTAGTAACCCAATCTTAATGTCAGGCGCAAATAATTTAAATCATATAATTTTGAAAATTTTTTTAAATCAGTAACTGCTACATTAAAGAGCATATTTTTAAAATTATCCATAATGATATGAGGGAAATCTATTTATTTGAAATATTTCTTCGTAAGAGTGGAAATATAAAAATTCATATTTCATACGTTTTTACTAAATACGGCCAATATTACCACTCTTAAAGCTGTGTTTATTTTGTTAAATACTTAATTTGAAACTATGAGTTATAAAATAAGTATTTGGGCACATGATTTTGATTTTTATAGAACAATTGAGCAGTTTTTTTCATTTGAGCTGGTTCATTATCAATTGAGCTGGTTTTCTGAGGCAAGAGAATAAATTGATTTTATGATTTGGCTGTTACCACATGATAACAGCCAAATCATAAATAGTCTGCCATTAATTTACACAGAATTAAGTATACTTTTGAGCAGTAATGAATTGTAAAGATTGGTATTACTATTTCAGGCTACATTTAGTGGAAACACATATGTTTGACTATTTCTATGAAAGGAGAATTTTAGCAAATTTGCCCCATTCTATGCATAATCAGAAAAAACGTTATCTGGTTAAAAAAAAATATTAAAATTTAATTGAAAAAGCATACCCAAACAGAGTTTAAACAAATATATCCACTTGCAATGTAACAGATAATCCATAATAGACTCACTTAAGACATTCTCAGTATTATTAAAGAATATCTTATGATTAATAAGTAAGAATTGGTGATATAGAAAAATAATTTGAATTAAGCTTGGTGAGAGATTGGCTTACCTCTAAAATTGGACGAGCATCAAATGTGTGTCTGGACTGTCCAGTTTCATCATTTTTATTCCCAAACAGGCTATTCATTAATGTTACATGAAGTTTCACAGATTCATGCTGTTGTTTAGCAAATCCTTCAGCAACAAATTTTTCAGCTAATAAGTTTGCTATTAATTGCAAACTTCAAAATATAAAAATTAAAACATCAATTTGCCAGTAACACTGAAGTAGATAAAGAAATATAAATGCTCTAAAAATATTAAATTACAATTATTACAAAGAGTCCTCATTTGATAACTCTGAATTATAATAAAGCTATGCTATTAAAAATACTTGTATGGTCATTACTTCTGACAAATGAAGGAAAAGTTCGGCAATATAGCTTCCATAAAATATTCTCATTCTCACTGCAACAACTGTAAACCCAAACTTACAGAAGAATAGTAGAATAACAGTTCTATAAATCCGAAGAAGAATGGTAAGCAAATACAATTTTCTGAAGGAAAGAAAGACTATTTCTCTTTATATGTAACATCATTAAAATTAATACTGATGATTAGTAATGCAAATATTTCTATTAGTTATACTTTCATACTACTACTGGGTCTGGTATAAATTAACAAATTTTCATTTAGAAACTTAAATATCACATTATAAGTGACTGCCATTCATGTAAAAATCATATTCAATTATCCTCATTTCATGAAACAAATGCTTTATAAAAAATAAAAACTTTATTTCTAATTCCTTAAAGCACCAAAATAGTTCTTTGTCTTTGATGTTTCATATGTTTGGCTCTTTTACATTAATTAAAATCAAAACTATAAGCTACTATTAATTAAGAATGAAAGCTACAAAATTTCATGTAAGCATTCCATCTTCACCACAATCAGTTACCTTTCTAACTACATACAAGTTGCTGATCTTAAAGTATATTACTATGAGTTTAGAAGTAGAAAAATATAACATCCAGTGCCTCAGGTAGTTGGATATGCAGCAACTATATACAGTACGAAGTCTGAGATCCGGACTCATCGGGACTTTGGCGATTACGGATTTGGGATTTTTCTGGATATTAGATAAAAATCTAAAAGGATGGCATGTAGAAATTAAAAAAATTAAAAATATGAAATTGTGATTTATGAAATAATGAAGCATATATGATCTAAAGGGTATCAAAATTCACAAAAATGGCTTAATATTTATTTGTTTACTTCATTAAACATTTCTTTCAATGTAAGTTGTTTAAGTTGCTTCCATTTTTTGGCTAATACTTTCTCTTTAATTCTATAGACAGACATAATTTCTTGTTCAGTTACAAAGTTCCATTTTGTTTAGATCCTGTAATTGCTGTGAGAATTCCGGCTAACTTATCAAAAAAATTTTTTTTTGTTTTCAATAACCTCTCTTTTCTTCACTATCGCTAGCAGTATTTTCTGGATTTACCACATTACAAATTTCGCCATCCGTTAATTGATTCATGATTGGGACATTGGAATTGCAATGAAAAACTTCTGTTATATAATTTTCATTTATTACCGCTTCTCCCATTTCTTTACAAAATCCATTAATTAGAAAATTTCACCTTTGGTTTGTGATATCCAAAAACCTTAAAATTTGCGGCTATCAGCGTTATCATCGTCACCATGAAGTACGGTTAGCTGGCCATAAATTATGCCAAGTACTTTTTAAAACAGCTGGACACGCACATCCTCCCACGATCTTGAAATGCTCCACACAGCAGATTGTTATGCTAAAATATTAAAAAAATTCTTGAACAGCCTTGCCATTATTAAAGAAATTTAACATGGATTTTAAAAAATGCTAGTGTCTGGAGATCCTAAATTCTGCTACACAGTTCTGCTACCCCTAAGTTCTAAATTTTGGGTCTCACTGCTTTCCCTAAATTCTAAAACTTTGTCATCCCTTAATTTTGCTGCATCGTGCTTCTCTAAAATTAAAATTTTTGTCTTTCTGCTACCCGGTGTGGCCATACAAGCTCTAGCACCGGTTCTGGGTTTATGTAAATAACAAATCAGTTATTCTTAATTCAAATAATTCTAAATGTAATCGTTTGGTGAATGAGTATCATTAAAAAAATCTGTTTTTAGCTTATGAAATTTCTGTTAAATTTTTCCTCATCAACATTTTTTAGTGCGTTTAACTTGAATCTGCAATCATCGCCAAGCGTCATGTCAGCGTAAAAGGTTACCATACTTTTTGTTACTCAATTACAAATATAAAAAAATTATTTAGACATGAGTCATTACTCAAGTTATCATGTGTTGATAAACACGCAGTGATAAAAGCAAAATATAATAATGATTTGCCAGGTTGGTGTCAGGGATGTAAAATATTAGTAGTGTAAAATCTACAATGCTATGCTTTGGTTTGAGATGCATGCCAAGCAGATACGTAACTACGGAGCCAAATTATTGATCACACAAATTTATGTTAAAATGAATGTTTCTTGAATAACAAGGTCTATTATTTAGTGCCGAAGTGATGAAGAACTGGAACTGGAATTCTCCACATGCTTTATTATGGGGGGGATTCAAATATTCATAAAGCTTTAAAAAATATATATTTAAAAAAATCTGAAGGGTTTCAGATTTTAAATTACGTCCAAAGGGTTTTTTTTTTTTTTTTTTTTTTTTTTTACATTTTGTCTTTTACCTTTATTTATTAAATATCATGTTATATATGTACTCAAACCATAAAATTCAGTTCAGTAATATCACAAAATAATTTAAAAAATATCTTTAGAATTTCCAACACAGAGTCTCGTGCACTGGAGATAAAAATGCTTTTTTTTTTAGCATAGAAAGCATAGAACACCATGTGCGTAACATTCTCCACTTCCTACTGCTTTCAATAATCAAACATATGATTTTATGCTTCCAGATGGTAGCAGACAATGGTAGACATCATATCAAGCATGTTTTGTAAACTTTTGTAAATTATTTATAGGTAAAGCTATGATACACCACACCAAAGGGTGGTTTTTGAAAATCATTATCCCCACCCCCTTGATAAAATTCCCATCATTTCATTCTGCCATTACCCAGTTTTCATGCAATTCTACTGTATAGTTTTTGCTATAGACTGCTCGCAAATATCAAGTTTAATTATGAACACCCTTCTTCATTATTTAATTTCTTTAAATATAATACAGGGCTCTAATATTTGGTGGCAACTATTTGAAAAGTGAATCGGACATTTATAGTGAACCAACGTAAAATGCCAAAATGAAATTAATAGTCCTTCAGAGCAAATTGCCCCTTTAGACTATAAAAAAGTTCTTGGTGGCTTTGAGGTCCTGATTTTAGATCATTCCGGATATTGATCGTCCAGATCTCTGACTTTGTACTGTATAAGATTGTGCAAAAGTATAGATAATTAAATTAAACGTAAGTTATAGCATATGTTTGGTTAGGTAAAGTGAACTAACTACAACTAATACATTGTTTTATATAAATATTGCACAGCTTATTAGAAGATTATTTCTCTGCAATTAGAAAAAATGTCAAAAAGAGCATATCTACACAATTTATATCTAATATAAGAATTAATAAATATTAAAATGTCTTGCTTAAGTTAGCAAAATATGAATTCAATTTAATGAATAATATTTACAGAAGAATGGAGGCAAATACTGCATGGTAAGTTCATATATAATGCACAGAAAGGAAGTTATAAGTTTCAGTTCTAAAGTAAAGGTAAAAGACGTCATGGTCGGTATGGTATTTGTATATGAAAATCACATTTTAATGCTACCAGCTGATTTGAAAGATACAAGGACCTCAGTGATTAAAAAAAATCATAAATTCCATGCATTAAAATTGTTTAATCCCATGTATTTTTTGTGTCAATTCATTAAGGGTAAAGAAATTTATACTTAAAAACATATGTAGAATTGTATATTTTTCTTATTTCTTCTTCTTATTATTATTAAAGTTTGTATAGCCCCCTAAAAAAAGTGCCTATTTTGAAAATGTGAAACATCTTACCAGTTATCACCATCAGTTTCTTGTACTTTAGCATAAAGTACATCGACTTCTGCAGGATCATCATTCATATATTCAACACCTTTCACCTTAATAACTAATTTTTTACCACCAAGAATATTTCTGAAAAATAAAAATATTTTACATACTGGTAGACAGATATTATTTAATAAAATAGCTACATTACTTTTGAAAAGGATGAATTAAATTTGAAATAACAATGGTTTTAAAAAATTAACGAAAAATGCAAAAATAGCAATAACTCGTTCAAAAATACATCAATCCATACAAAACTTGAATATGTTCTCAAATTAGAATTGCTGATGAAAACTGCAAAATGCAGATTATTGGCGCTGCAACTGAAATATGTCATAAGCGAGGAGCACAAAATTGCTTGTTTGAGAGCATGCCTGAAAATTCCGTTGTGATACTGAGATAAGAAATCTGGGATAGTTAATTCGTAAGAGTCACATCCAGGCATCATTTGCCTGAAGAACTCCAATGGAGAGCTATTGGGAGACTAGAGGAAAGACAAAGTCAGACAAAAGTCGCCAAATGGTTAAATGCGAGTCCATCTGTGGTTCATAAACCTCCAAGAGGTTCAGTCAAGGACAGCCAACCACTACTACGAGCGTCGATGACCAATATTTGTTGTTATGCACACAAAAGAATAGAATTGAACCTCTGACACAACTCAAATTTTTCCTTGGTGCAGCCAGTTGAAGGTTGGTGTCAACATCACTCATGCATAGAAGACTTCACAAAGTAGGTCTGTAAACGAGGCAACCAGCTATTTGCACGATGCTCATTACAAGTGGGCACGTTAATATACCCATTGGACGGCTAATCAATGGAGAGTTGTTCTCTTTACAAATGAGTCCAGTTTTAGACTCCAAAGTGATAGTAGGCATTATTTGATTTGGAGGGAATCTGGAACCTGTTATTATCCATCAAACTTCTGGGAAATAGGTGCATATGGAAGATGCAGTGTCGTTGTTTGGGGTGGTATCTCTTTAGGTGGACACACAGACCTCCATGTCTTTCCACGTGGAACTGTGAATGTTTAAGCCTATACAGCTAACGTCCTTGATGCTTATGTGGCCCTTATGTCAGGTGATGAAAAGGTTAATAAAATTTATTCTTATCACAAGAAATAAAACTAAATCCTGGAATTCTCCTCAGAGAAATTTGTGCAAGTATTTACAATATCAGGTAGTAATAATCAGTAGAATGCAAATACGTTAAATAGAACTCAATTCACCGCACATTTTAAAGAGAAAGCTAATCTAATCTCACCATGAATTCACAATAATAACAACAGCAGCTAACTAAACAACTGAGCTGATGTGTTTCTCTCTGGCTTTTAGTTTATTAATCGGCCGTATGAGATAGTTCTAGCATTTTCTGCTTCTTGAGATTTCTGAAAAGCAGTGAGAGGATGTAATTACAGTTACAGCTAACACAGTAGTCAATTACATTTATTCAATTTCAATACAAATAAAAGAGATATCCATTTACTCAATGTTAAATGCATGTGCTCCCGTATTTTTACTTTTCCGCCATAGTTTTCTCTTAATATTTGTCTCGTGCTGCATTTCACAGGGAAATACAACAGTTTTAATTACAATTCTACAAAAAATATCTAACTAAATACAAAATTCATAACAATATAACAACAAAGGAAGAAAGTATGCCATAAATGCAACTTTTCTCCCAATTAACTGAGATTTCTGCATGTCAATTTCAAACATGTGCTGTCCAGGAAGTCGCCATTGTGACCGATTGATGATGGCCAGGATCAAACTTTTGGCCCTTCAGTATTTATGGGGGGGGGATCAGAGCCAGTGCTGTGCATTTGACACCTGATGAGTGATCTTGGTGAGTGCTTATTCCTGCTGCCTGGTACCTCTCTAAATTCTAAAAGTTTTCCCACCCCTAAATCCTACTGCCCTGTGTCTCTCTTAAATCCTAAAAATTCTGATATCCCTAATTTTTGCTGCTTAGTGCTCTTCTAAATTCTAAAATTTTTGCCGCATCTAAATTCTGATGCTAGAGGCAGCCACATCAGTTATGCAGCTGCTATGGTGCCATCCATTTGGGAGTTAGCATTTTAATATCTCACCTAAACAATAAGTGCAGCCCCCAATGCTCGCATGTCATATTACTAGTTTTAAATTGATGATCTAAAAGCCGGAAATTTTACAATATCCAGGAAGTCCCAATGATTTCGAATCTCAGACTTTGTACTTTATATATGAAATATGGGTCAATAGCTCTAAATATGAATATATAAAATGAGAAGATCAAAATGAAAAACATAGTTTCTGGCTTTGCTATAAGAAATATGACAAGGTATGTAGAGTTAAACCTCGGTTCACAAATATTATTTGTTCCTAAAGATTATTTAGCAATCCAAATTACCTTCACCATAAGAAGGATTCAATCATACCCTGGATACATTCATTCATTCATACTCATTAATTCATATATACATATAATTATTTATTTAAACTTCACAACAGTGAAATATTTGAGTTCATAACACAAAACCAATAGAAATCATTAAATCCAAAACAAAAATATTAGCAACAGATAAAAGATATTAAAATTTATCTTACCTATATGAAAGAGTGTGGACAGCATAAGTGGAAAGTTATGAGGAAGAGACAGGGAATAGATATTATTGCTTTTCCATAAAATCATCAGGTAACTGTCTTTTAGGGGTCCACCTTTTATTGTCACTTAGCACCAGTTGACTCTGTTTGAGATTCATTGGGTTTTCATTTTATTCAGAATTTGTCCAATTTTACTATTGTTTATGCTTTAAAATGTTTCTTAAATAAGACCATGGTTACTAAAAATATTTATATTGCGGCTTGCAACAGCTTTATTAGGCTATCCTATCTTTACACGAAAACTTAACACTTACTCCATTTTGCAGATAAAAGAGCTAGGGTCATCTTCCTTTCTTTTCTCTTCCTCTAAAGACATTTCATGCACAATCACTTTTTGAAGTTGATCACACTTCTGAAGTTGATCTTATTCTTTCTAATTGAGCTCATTTTTACGCTGCTCTAGTAACTCCTTAACATTGGCTTCTAAGCCTGTGGTTTTGATTAGGGACACAGTATCACATATAAGGAAATCTGGTATGTTCAGCACATGACTTTCTACCAACTCCATGTTAAGACATGGAATTAGTGGAGTAGCAATGAGCTTTAAGTGAACTATTAACTTCTTGTTGATCATTTATAAATAAAATCTTATTTGTTTATAAAATTTATGGTTCAGTGTTAAATTATAAATACTAATTCTTCATTATTCTCCCATAGAATGGATAATGCAAACTACACATGTTAATGTTGCAATTTGAAATATCACATCCATCATATTATCATCTGGTCATGCAGTGTTTCACAAATCAATGACTTGACAATCACAAAATTATTAAAAGCAGCAAGCGTATCTTTAGAATTCCTGACACATGCCAGAAATTAATTTTTATATTTGCTGTATTATTTAAAAAAATTATGCATATTAATAACATATGGTGGTAGAATCCATTTATTTGCAAAGTGATTCAATATAAAAGTGAAATGAATATAAAATTGGGGAACTGAGGCTAATACATTTAATTGTTTCATAATGAGAGCTTATCTTCATAATGAGTTTATTCTCGTAGCATTTAACATTATTCCAAGAATACATTTAATGCTTATAAATGCAATATATTGGTCTCATTGTATACCTATTTTAAATATCAAATCTGAGAAGTTTTGGATTATTAGTCCATTATTTATTTGGCCTCTGTACTAAAATAGTTGAACCATCAAGAAAGAGTATGAGATCAGGATCGAGCGAGGGAGAAGGTAGAAATCATGAAAGGAGGATAGGATTACTTGCAGCAAAAGTGCATGCTAAGTCTTTTGATTTGAGAACTTAAATCCATTTACTCTGACAATTTAGCAATCCTGTTAAGGGAAATTTGCAGTTGTCTCTCAATAAAATGCATGTCTGAACCTTGGCAACTTACTTGAATATTATCAGCATATAAAGTTCTGAAACAGCTAGAGGAAGCTTTTTAAACTAGTATTTATTTTAAGATTAAAATGGGTTTCATTCAATACACAGCCCTGTGGATCACCCTCTTCTTGACAGAAAGACTTTGATTTTATTTACATTAATTTTGTTTGGAAATATCTATCTTTCAAGAAATTTTATGGATAAAGATCAGTAAATTTCCATGAAAATCACTATCACAATCATAACAAAGAATTCCATGCCTCTAGGTTTGGTTTTTTCCACATAAAAAGGACAGATACTAAGTGGTCACTCTTACAAAAGACATCATGTACTACAGTCTTAAAAAGAAGCATGTTACCAGAATTGATCTGCCTTTCCAGAAACCAGTTTGGTAAGGTGAAATATGTCTATTTTTCTCCAAACAAAAAACGAGACAGTAATATACCATTTTGTTCCCAAAATTCTACACAAGCAACTCATAAGAGCAATTTGGCAGCAGCTTAAAGAATTATTCTGGTCCTTTCCAGTTTCACTATTGGGATCACCACAGCGTTTTGCCAGGCACCAGGAAAAGCATGCTTCTTTCACATTCTATTAACCTTTAAAAGACAGGTGGCCTAAATATCAGCCAGAGCTGCAGTGTCTCAAAAAGACGACTGTGGCAACGGAATTTGTTTGATATATAAATATAAGCTGTTACACTATGCTTGGAAACAAATAAAAGCGAACTGCAGATTTATACGAGAAACAAATACTTAAACATCTTTTTTGAGTATAAATTAAAAATGTTAATTAGTACATGTAATTCTAAACTAAATTCAGTTTGGAAACAAATAAAAATGGAATAAACTATGAACTAATTATAGGCGTGCATTTTCATAATGACGCAATGTCAAAAGTTAATATTTCAACATACGACAATTATTTAGCTACAAAATCTCATTACAATATGTTTTCCTAGTTTAGGGAAAAGAAACAGCAGAAAAGAGAACAAATTCAACAAATTCTTCTATAGTATTCCCTAGTCACTTATCTGAAAATTAACAAAGGCGACCTACAGGAAAAGTTGCAAAAGAGTAGTAGTTTCCCTCTACAATGGCAGCTAATAGGGGGTGGAAATGCATTTGGATTTCCCATCTTTTTAACTGAAACCTTTGCAAACTCCCCGTCTCTTAAAGGTTAAAGAGAGTGAAAAGGGATACCAGTGATTTATTGGAAAGATGGAGCATGATGTAACTGATGCCATCAATACCAAGTCCAGTTTTAATAGACTGAGCCAGAAATTTCTCAAGCACTGTGAAGTTTTCACTGTGTACTTCCTGACTAGGAGTGTTAAAAGTAATATGGGTCTTTTCTAATTGTTGCACAGCAGAAAGAAATGAAGGGTGTTAATTGCTGCTACACGATATGTCAGCAAATGCTTCTTCAATGACATTAGCAATATCTTTTCTGCTGTAGATTATCCAATTGCTTTTTTCTAAGATGGAAAGAAACTAACTGCAAATACCCAAAGCTTTAAGTATATGTTTCCAGACCTGTTTGCTCAGAGTTGTTGATCTGAAAGGTGACAAAAAGGAGATTTATGAATCTCTCAGGCTTTGTTGATGCACTCTTGGAGCCTTTGATCTTGCTTACAGTGCAATGATGTTGGTCAGAATGAGGAAACATCAAAATATATCCCAAGCCTTTTCTCTAGTTTCTTGACATATGCGATTATACTACTACTTCAGGAATTGGGGAAACCTTACTGATAAATATGGGAATAGAGATTTCCACTGCATGAGATTTATTATTTATTTATTATTATTCCACCTGCTTCACCTATCAATAGGCACTACAGATCACTCATGTTGTTCTGATCATTGCACCAGCAACCTTTTTTTCATTGTTTAGCTTTTCAACTTTATTATTAATAAACAGATTTAACATAAGTACATTTTTTGTTGAGTGCTCCAACGTACAATGTTTTGGTTAGATTTAATGAGATATGACATCTGTGAGTAGGTGGAAGTATGTTTTCTCTCTGTTATTACAGAGACAAAAGCAGTGATCTTCGATCAACAACTCTATCTGCATACCACAAGAGTTTCTACCCTTACTTCCCCACAGCGGTTTATGACTGTTTAGATCGGCAATCAGAATGAATGGTTCAGACGGCTACATCAACAAATCATTTAACTATGTCTGAGCTATCAATTCATTTGAAGGTAGGTACAGCGTACACATTATTTAACTAAAGTTCAACTGTTTGTGTGACTTGCAACAGCTTGGAGCAAACTTTTCAGTGATAGAACAGTTGATGGACACTGATGGCAGGTTAGGAGAGCAACTCCTCCACTAATATGATATCCTAAAACTTTCTTGTTCCTAGAGACCAAATACCTCTGCAGTTCTGGCTTTAGAAATGTCTTCTGAAGTCCAAACAGGATTGTGGTTATTTGCCAAATTCTTAATATAAGCTAAACTCTGGTACAAACTACAATGCCAAGAGATTTGGCCATTACGATTTTTTTATTTTGTTGATGCTGCTTCTTAGTCTTCGGGGTAACAGATGTTTTGGCAGTTGCAGATCTTTGTCTAAGCCGATTTCAGCACTGAGTCTCTGAAACCAGAGCACACACTCTGAGACTCTGCGTTTGGGTGCTCAGATTTTTTGTTCTGGGTTTATTTTGTTATTTTTGGTTTCTTTTTTTGCTGTTGTTTTACTTACTGATATATTGTTAGGTTTACTTGCTACTTGAACAAGTGTTTCAGTTTGCCTTTTTTGAAAACTTAAAATTGTCAAGGTAGATATGGATTTTGCAGACATGGAAGTATCAGCATATGATACACTATGAATATGAATGAATTTGCTTTTGAAGTTTCCATGTTAGAAAATAAAGATATTCACAATGAGCGGCTCACCTAACATGGAACCCAACAAGAGGATGCAGACTTCTATACCAGGGCTAATCAGGTCTATATACAAACTGAAGCCATACAGTCAGCTTTCCTGAAAGCAGGATCTCTTGAAAGCTTACTAAAAGCTATTGACACAAGGACTACTAACTAGTTGATTGACAATAACAGGAACAGCTAAGTGCCTCTCGTTTTAATTGAAGCAGAGGCCAAAGTAGCGTGCTGGGGGATAATACCTTGACCTTCAACTACCAACAATCCTCTTCCGAGTTCTACAAATCTCCATGCATGACAAACACATACGCAATTATCTCATCATGGTAAAAGTGAGAGAAAAGGGATGTAACAGTATTTCATAGACAACCTAATCCTCCATAAAGTAAACCCCAAGGGAGAAGGGAAGGCCAAAGTAACAGTGAAGAACAGAGAAAACAAGAAACAGAATAGATCCATGGGGTTTCAGGTTTGTGACTTCAGTCTCACGAATAAGATATCTCCTAGAGGACGTACCTTGGGATTGCACCACTCAAATGCGCAAACTCTGAGGGCCACAAAAACATTGTTTTCAGAATTAAGTGAACACCTCATTGGCAATCTTTTTAAAATCTGATCTACCTAAATTAAACTATAAAGTATTTGAAATTATGACACATATGGCTTTGTAGAGCAATTTAAAATTCAGTTTACATAAAAATTCCAGTGTTTCCCCACCTTTTTTTACAAAATCGTACCTTTTGGCTTACAAGCAGATCACCTTACATTTGTAAATGAAATGTTATTTTAGACACATGTTAACACACAAAGTAAGTACTCACAAAATATCGTTTCTGCATTTCTGTAATATCCCAGCAGCATTTTCAGTTTCTTTCTCATCAAGTAATACAAGTGTCGTTACAGTCAAATGCAACCTTGCAGGACTTTGGAAAATGGTAGAATTTATACCACGAACCTGAAATATGAGATTTTTAATTATATAACACACATACAAAGGAGAGGGAATGCTAATGTTTTGAAAAAATTCTCATTTTTAACCACATCTTCCTTTCTGAAATCAAGATAATATTACAAAAATATCTCACTATATATAACACTTTACATGTTTTACATCTATGGACCACAAGTGGTAATTTTAGATTTCCACAAAAGAACAAAAAATAAAATTCACACTATATGAATATATCACACTATAGCTGAATCAGTTAGATTTAGAAATTACACATGACAATCGCCTATAATGTTTTCTCTGCAAATGCTGCAGAATGGGATATGGCAATGAGGGAAGTTATTGACACAATGAAGAGAAGAAAAATTTGAGAATTAATTGAGAAGCAAGGGTGGGGGAAATATACTAGGAAACCAATGGATCTATACACTAAAAGGATATGAAAAGAATGAAGTTGTTAGATATAACACTTGTCTTGTTAAACAAGAATTCAGACAGAAAATAGAGGAAGATTTTACCTATTTTTATTGCTATTTGATATTTTTACCATCCATTTTAATTTTTCAATCATAAGAATATTTTTCACAATGCTGGTATATTTATTTGGATGGATAATTTGTCAATTAGATGTGAAAAATGAATATTTATTTGCAAAACTAAATGAGGAAATTTATATAACCCAGTCAAAGCGCTTTATTAAAGAGAAAAAAATAAAATGTGTTTATTACACAAGGCCATTAGTCTGCAAAGCGGCCATAGATAATTTTTTGAATTTGAAAATATTTTTTAAAATCTAAATTTTAATAAAATGCTATGGTGTAACCATGCTTATAGAAGCCCTAATATAATTCAGATTATATAGGGTGGCTCTAAATTGTTTTTACAAATTAAGAGGGGTGATAGTACCCATCCAGACAAGCAATAATTATCATAGAACATAGGGTCACATTCCACTCTGAGAGGCAGAAAAGAGGAAAGTAGAACACATCATTGAAAATCAAGGAAACTATCTCCTAAAACTATCAAGAACTAACAGTATGCAAATTTGCTCTGGAAAGAAACAGCATTTTGCTCTTAGTTGGTACCGCAGAAACCCAATCAGAGCAAACAGTGTTCTTGAAAATGGCATATCATCATCGCATCAAGTATTACACCGATAATATAGGTCTAAAACTCGGTGAATTCTATGGCACGGTGGAAACATGGTGAATGCTATGGTGCAGTACACGTATGAGTAATTAGCAGATATTCACTCAAACATGGTGAAGCAAAAGGGAATGGACGTGAAGCACGAAGATTGCATGAACAGCGGTTTCCAACTCGTTGGATTTTAAGTCATCCAACCTTTTCCAGTGTTGATTGAAGACTGCAAGAAACCGGTTCTTTTGCCATCTCAAAAAGCAATGCAGGATGTTTGTGAAATGCATGAACCCCAGAAATGGAAGTGCTAGTTCTGACTAGATCTGAAGCAGTTCCTTTCACAAGTACGCAAAATGTATAAGCGGCATACGAAATGGGTATTTTTCAGCAGTGGTGTGACGTATTTTACATGAGGAACATATGTATCCTTACCACGTGCAAAAAGTGCAATTTTTGGACACAGATGATTATCCCTGTGGGGGCAGACTTTGTGCAGTGGATGCTTGGAATGAAGAATAACAATCCACGATTTCTTGCATTAATATTATTTAGTGATGAGGCAACATTCAGCAGAGAAGGCATTTTGAACATGCATAATCAACATGTTTGGTCTGACAGCAATCCCCACTGCACTACTCCTCGTAAATACCACCAGAAATTTTCTGTGGATGTCAGGGCAGATACCTGGTAGGCCCTTACATCATGCCAGACCGTTTGACCGGTACTAAAGCTAGGGGGAAGAGTATTAGTTAGGTAATAAAGCACATGGGCAGTGTACACTTAATGATTTGTTGAAAGCTATTGCATGGGTTATAGTGATTTCAGTGACATCACTTAGCTATTATCATGTGATATAGCTCACAGGCAATCAATGTCATCTGAATGACTGACTTTACCAGAGGTTGCATCATTGAGAAATTATAAGAAAGTTTGCAAATATGGTGCAAGAGTTCAGAATCACTTGCAGCAATTTTTTGCAAGCCTGGAGAGCATTTCAAATGACAGGAACAACAGTTCAAGTGTTTAGCAGTGGTCATTCACTAGCAACGACAACAGCCAATGACCAGCATAATATCCTATAGGTCAGAAGAGACAGGTTTTTGATATCAAATTTTGTCTTCGCCTGGAGACTGCACAAACATGATTTATATGCATGATGATCAGTACAGTGTGTGACATTAATGCCTGCTCACCAAAGATACTGGAAACACAAGAACTGGACACAACAGGAATGGGGCTGACTGCTCTTTATGGATGAAAGCTGATTTAGTCTGATAATTATTTTTGGATGTATACATATCTGGAGAAAAAAAAGAACATAAAATCACCCTTGCAACATCATTGAAAGGGACCATTTTGAAGGTGACAGAACTCTTGTTTGGGGTAGTACCATGGTTGGTAACTGTATTGAACTTCACATCTTCCAAGAAGGTTCATTCACTGGTGTCAGCTATTATATTGAGGTTCTCTTGCTTCATATGCATCTGTTTAGAGGTACTGTAGGTTCAGATTTTCTCTTCATGGATTACAATGCAACACCTCATCATACAGTAGCTATCACAGCACTTTTGGAGAGTGATGATATTCAATGCATGGATTGCCCTTCAAGGTCACTGAACTTAAATCCCATAGAACATGTGTGAAAGCTTCTTGGGAGATGTTTGACAGCATGTGACCCAGCCGGCAGCAACAATTCTGCCGCTGAAATTGATACTACAAGAGGAATGGAAAGTTATGGCTCAACAGCTCCTTGACAACCCTTGTCCTCAGCATTGACAAATATTCTAATTCCTGCATCACAGTCACTGGTGATTATATTCCTTTCTAAAGACTAGATTTTTCTTGCCAGGAGCCTGTCACATGGACGTTTCAAGGTCATTAGTGTTCAAGCTATTTTTTTAATAAATGGCTTTTTATCTTTTAATTCCTTGTTTCGATGGCTTTGTTCAACTTGTTCCATATTTCCATATCTTGGTCATCTTACAGTATAATTTGGGTTGACGTGGAAAACTTCTCCATGACGTTAACTGTCTCATCTTAAACTTTGCCCACCAGTGTATTAAACAGAACTAGAAAGTTATCTGGCACTGAATTCTTAGAAAATGACAATAGGGGATTTACACATCAGCATATATAGATCAAAGAAATTTTTTAAAAATTGTAACATTTTTAGATACCAATATAAACAATACCATACCAAAATTAAATATGCATCTACAAGAGCAAAAACAGATAAAATGAGTACCCCATATACCCACGTATAGGCAACAAATTTAAAAAACAAATCAAGCTTTGAAGTAGGGGGTTGACTTATATGGGGAATCAAAAAAAAAAAAAAAAAAAAAAAAAAAAAAGCTGCCATCGATCGATGATACGTTGTCAAACATTATTATTAAATTACATCATTCATACAGAAAAAACACAAAATTTTTATTTATTCATTTCTTTTTTTATTAAATTTGCTTCAATTTTATCTGTGTTTATTAGAAAAGTTCCCCCCATTTCATTTCATTTCATTATCTGGCATCACTGAGCAATTCAGTCTGTACAATATCTGTGCGGAGATCTTTGATTACTATTACTGTATCGAATCAGTAACTGTAACTATACCAAATGCTTTTTTGCTTATCCTGCTAATGTCTAATTTAGCAAAATCTTAAAAAAAACCTCTTTTCAGAGCCACACACACTCTGCAATGAGTTGTGTAAAACAAAAGAGAATGCCTTATACTGTGAAATTCAAGCTGAAAGTAGCCTCATCTGTGGAAAGTACGAACAACTGTATTGCATCACGTAAGTTTGGCATGAATGAGATGATTCATAGAGAAAAAATGTTCCTATATTAAAGAAAACCCCTAAATCTAAAAAAGTCTGCAATGTGTGATCATGGATTGGCTTCTTTTTGCGTTTGTGCCTTAACACGTCGCTTTAGACCCTACATTACTATACAAAAAATACATGTTTTAGTATGCTCAACCACCCCTCTAAGTTTGTCCCATGATCATAGAATCACGCCGTATATACATTATAGAGTCAATTAGCTTTGCACTTGCTCATTTTTTTTTTTCTTTAGTTTTGATACAGTGGTTGGTGTTGCTGAATACAATACTGATGGGTTCATATTCCAGAGAAGGCATAGATGTTCGTAAATGTTTAGTATCTGTGCAATAAGGGGTACTCAAAACACACACTGAGCCAAAAGTCCTCTCAAGAGGTTATTGGTAGGAGAAAAGGAATGGGAGACCCTCAGACTACTCCCCTGGATGTTTTCCCTCAAAACAGCACTGGAACTGCATATATGGTGTGGCATGACTATATGATTAATTGTGAAATTCTGGTTGAAATTCTGGTGTCCTGCTCACTTCTTTGTGTACTTGTAAAAGGCTGCTTTGTTTTAAGAGTGAAATAAATGTTTTTATTTTTAGATATATTTCAGAATTAATTATTTCTGAAAAGCGAAGTATGCTTTTCAATATATAGCTACCCTGCCCCAAGGACAAAAATGAGATGCTGAAAGACAGTTTCCAGCAAGACACTAATCTAGAAACAATTTTAATCTCATTATTGTCTTAACAAGTACAAGATATTTGAAGCAAATTAGTTTCAAATGATGAAAAGTTTTCCAATTACGCTCACAAAAGGCATGTTATGAAGACAATGTTCCTTTTACAATTAGACAATGCTTTTGTAGATTTTTTAAGGTAAATAATTAGGTTTTAAGGTTGTCTCAACTAAAATAGATATTTCTTTCTTATTAGTTATAAAAATGTTCAAGAACAATATTAAAATAAAGAGTAATGCACTAAAATATGAAAAACTCTGAGATTACGGCATCTCAGTGCTTAAAATAGCTGAAAACTGATAGTTCAATACGCATTTGAAGCCTGCTTGTGCTCGAGTATTTTCATCACTTTCTCTATGTGTAATGTGAATACAAAATAACTATAATGTGAAAAATCTTCCACAAAAGCACCTTACCCATAGGTAGATAGTCTACTTGTGCTTCACCTTTTTTAGTTAAACAAAGAAATAATTCTAAGTTTAAGAAACACAATTCTATGGAAGGAGAAAATGAGTATCTGAACTTAGGAATAATAAATAGTGCACTGCCCATCAAAGAGAAAATATGAACCATTTTAAGATGAATAAAACCAAATGGTGTTCATGCAAAATGAACACAATGATAAAAACACTTATTTTAAATAACGTATCTAATTTTACCGTAGGTTTACAATAACAGAGACTTTTTGCTTTTAATTCTGTAAATTGCTTTATAAAGCTAACTAAGGTTAGCCTAGGTTAGGTTATTTAGATTGTAGCAAAAAACACAAAGACTCTCTGCCAAAGGAAATGGATGTCTTTGCAAAGGACATTTCAAGGGAAAAGAGATTAAACTCTTATTACACATGGTAATCCATCATGCAAAACTCCAATTAAGCAGCTTGTTTCCTGGGATTTGCAGGTGGTGTCTAACTACCAATGCATAGTGATCTTACTGCTCAGTTATTGGTGGTCAATACTATCAGAGAAATAATTTCATTTTACTTTGTGTGCTTATATAAAGTTTTTAGATTATATTATTTATGCAAAAATCGAAAAATTCATGTCAACACACCCATTTTAAGTAGATGAATATACACTGGTTATCATTAACTAATGAAAAATCACAAAAATGACAAATACTCAAAAAGTTACATGTTGAATTTAATGAAATTGACCCACAGTATATAACACATAGTAAGGTATAAAATAGCATGAAAAGAAGTTACCAGACTATTATGGTGTTATAGAATTTATAATATGATAAAATGAACAAACAGAATGTGTCAGTTTGGAATAGTAATATTACCTTCAATATGTAGTATGATAGTATGACCTTCCCTAGAAATAATACAGCAATGTGTGATGTTGTCAACAGTGAGGTCTATCAGTTCTGTAGGAAGTGAGAGCCACTGCTCTTGTAAAGCAGCTGCAAGTATGACAAGGGTCTGAAGATGAGGACTGACAGCAGCTATACGTCTTCCCAAACATGCTCCATAAGATTCCGGTACGGTGATCGAGCTGGCCACTGTTTACGCCTGAAGATAATCGTTCATGATGCAAGCGTATAGTGGTTAGCACTGTCGTCTTGTAGCAGGAAATTATCATCCATTGCCCTGGCATAACAGTGAGCATAAGCATCAAGGGTGTCATCTCTATAGGCCTGAGCATTCATGGTTCCATGCAGAAAGACACAGATGTTTATGCATCCACCCCAAAAGATATCATGCCGAACACAGACAATGCCTCCTCCACATGCATCTCTTTCAGAGATGTTTGATGGATGATAATGGGTTCCAGGTTCTCTACAAATCAAGTAAATCCTACTACCGCTTTGCAGGACAAACCTGGACACATCCATCAACAGAACAGCCCTCCACTGATCAGTCATCCAGTGGACATGTTGATGTACCTCAGTCATCCATAGAATGGAACATGTTGATGTTCCCTTCTAATGGGTTGGCAACTAGTAAGTAATTGCGGATATTTTTTAGAAAATCAAAGACAATTTTTTCATGGAACTAAATAACTTTATTCTGTAATGTATTGCCCATTTTGATCAATGTCCTTTTGCCATCTTTCAGGCAGCATCATAATCCCACGTTCATAAAACTTCTGGGTTTTATTAGCAAAAAACTGAATCAGGTACGATTTGACATCATCATCATTATTGAAATTTTTACCATTCAAGGAGTTTTGTAAAGATCGAAACAAAAAGTAATCAGATGGTGCAAGGTCAGGACTATATGGTAGACGTGCCAAAACATCCCAACCGAGCTCCGATAATTTTTGCTGAGTGACCAAACATGTGTGTGGCCTTGCATTGTCATGATGGAATAAAACACCTTTTCGATTTGTCAATTCAGGCCGCTTTTCTTCAACTGCATTGTTTAATTTCGTTAGTTGTTCAATGTAAGACATCAGAATTGATCGTTCGGTTGGGTGGTAAGAGTTCAAAGTTGACAATTCCTTTGTAATCCCACAAACTGATAACAAACCTTCTTTGATTATTATTAGCTTTTGATGTGTTTGGTTGGTTCACTTGGCCTGCTCCACGATCTTTTCCGCTTGATATTGTTGTAAACAACCCATTTTTCATCGACAAGTTATCAGTCGTTTTAAAAATGGATCATTTTCATTACGTTTCTTTAGTTCTTTCTTTAGGGATCATTTTCATTACGCAAATGGCAGCTGTTAATGCGTTGCGTTAAATGCGTTTTCCTTTCATTTTCGTGAGGAACCCATGTATCGAGTTTTTGAACATAGCCAAGTTGTTTTAAGTGATTTTCAATGCATATATGGTGATACATGAAGCTTCTCTGCAATCTCACGTGTTGTACTGTGACGATCCGAA